ACACCCCATATATCAAACTACTTTACAATGTGTTTTATGATGTATTTTGGTTCAGAGTAAATACAAAATGCAAAAAGTTCAACCACCTCAGGCATCTCAATGAATTAGAGCAGCGCAGGGGCCAAGTGGAACATGGGACTGCTCTTCCAAGAAGATGGACCTAAGGTGTTTCAGGTGAGGAATACTGAAGGTTCTTCCTGCCCTGGCCTGGCATACTGGGCTGTCAGTGAGAAAGACCGGAGGGCCACACATGTCACCTGTCCTTCCTTCTCCATTTTAGAGGCTCCTCACTCCCTGAATGCCCATGTAGCTTCCCAAGGAGCCCAAACCTGTATATGTCATCATCCACCTCAAACACAGAGGGTACATCTTGATTTAGGGTGCAAGTCAGAAGACTCTACTCTCTCACCCATTTTTTTCTTTTGCGTTGCACATTCTAAAATGGATTTTTAATCCCACAGGCATCAAATATCTTAAGTTTGTACCTGCTTAAATTATACGGTTAATGACAATAACGATCTGCAATAAAATAACTCCAATGTTTTGAGAGGGGGGAAAGAGAGAAGACAGAAATCATGCTCTATTCAATCAGCATGATAGTGCTTCCTCTGAGCCAAAGATTGCATGGGACGGCTGGTTGGAGCACAGTTTAACAACAAGAAGGTAAAACGGCCAGCCACCAAAAAAAAAAAAAAGAATACAGGGGCATTCATTGTATTAGAGAGTAAAGAGTCAAGTTGACCAGCTATATTATCCTACTGTTATATCCTCAGTACTAATCTTGGAAAAAGAGAAACCAAAGTTCTCATGGGAAAGAGGAACTTCTCTAGTGAAAAGAAGCAGGACCAAGTTTGGCCCAGCATCTTGCAGTTCGCTCTCACTCAAGCCTACATACAGACCACATTCTGACAGCAAGGCAAAAACTGAAAAGAGAGCTACCCTCGTGTTCTTAGCCCACATACCAAAGGCCCATGTGACCGTGACAGGGCCTGGTCCATTGCACATGAAGGCGAGAATGCCGGTGGGAGGCAATTACACACTCCCATCTGGCGCATGACAAGCATTCAATTCTTTCTCCTCCTCCAATCACATCCTCTAGCATTTCTAAGGCCAACAAAGAGGAGGCAAGGACTCCAGCAGAAGCCCAATGTGCTCCCCACAAGGGGACCTTTCAACACCCACCCTCAGGCACTGCCTGAGGATGAAGTCAGCCTCTATTCTATAGGCCATGAAACAGGCTGACTTTGTGACCAGATGGCCAGCCCCTATGAAGCTTCAAAGATGGAAAAGGCTTGGTTTCACCCACAGGGACCTCATTCCCTCTGCAGGAAGCCCAGCCAAACCATTTTTAAATAGGTACATTCAGGGGACAGGCATAGAAACATTTACAAGAACCTCTGTGCAGCATCAAGGTTGCCCCTTCCCTCCCTCCCTCCCTCCCTCTGTTCTCTTGACCCCAAATCACCCCCCCAACACACCACCACTGAGTTCACTTCCCTAAATCTCTCCCTCTATTCCCACGATGATAGCCTCCTGCTCATGAATCTAAAGAGAGTCCCACAAGCTTCCCCCTTTAGAATCCAGCATAACTCAGTGAACCAAAGAAGTGGTATGTAGAACTCGCATACAGCTCAAAGGAGTTTCGTTTTGCAACCTCTACAGGAAATCCCATTGGAATGGCCATTCAAACACGGTGATAAAAGTGGCTTCCCATTCACCACAAGACCCATAAAAGCCTCACCGTAGCACTGAAATTCCTGCAAGATTTGGTTGCTTTATACCCTTCTTTCTGTCCTTCTACTTGTGCATTGTCCTTGCTCTTTCCTCTTCTCTCCTACTACACAGCCTAGTAGCTGAGAACACATTCAGCCTGGGTTCAAATCACAACTCCACCACTTAGTAGCTGGAGACCTTGGGCAAGGTACTTAAATGACTCAATGTGTCAGTTTCCTTATCTGTAGAGCAGGGATAATGATACTACCTACTGTTCAGGAGAGTGCAGTGGTGGTAAAGTGAGAAGATACAGGTAAAATGCTTAGAATAAAACCTGGCACATAGTATCACCCAATAAATACTGTCTACTAAAATACTTATTAGTATTCATACAAGTTACTTCTTCCATGAAGCCTTCCCTAGCAACACCAGTCAACATCTTCTGTTTCTTAAATATTCTGTGAACAGTCAGAAAGCATAGTTACTGGCTAGAGTTGTTAGGAACTATTTCATGGACAGGTACATGGATGGTAATCAGGTGTTAAAATAATTATTATAAAATTCATGTCCTAATATTATGAGATTCATGTCCTGAAACATATGCCTATGGGTCTCAAATTATCTCTGCCTCCAGTAACAATGTTTCTAATAAGTTCACCAGTAAGAGATACTACATATTTGTCTATCTACAGATTTTTTTCTTGGATCCAACGCTTAATTCTACCAAGACTAAAAACTTCTTAAGAGAGCAGGGATCCCACCATTGACACTAGGTGCACAGCTCCAAGCTCCCACCACGGTACCTCAGTGGAGCATCAAGCCAATGCTCGCTGGATTTAAAAAGGGAACATGACCGCTGGACCCCAGCCCCAGCCCAGCCAAGTGAGCGCCCACCAGAGAGGCCCCCTGCCAGAGAGGCCCGAGTCCCGCAGAGACCATGCGCCCCGCAGCGCCAGCGTGTGACCAAACAGGTAGGCCCCGCCGCCACCAGACCCCATCCACAGCCGGGCCGAGTGCAGGCAAACCAGGGAGGTGCCCCACTGGACATGCCCGAGAGCTGCCCCACCACACGCCATCCACAGCCCGGCCGAGTGCACACCAACCAGAGAGGCACCTCCCAGAAGAAGCCCGAGACCCAAGGCAACCATGTGCCCGAGGCACCAGCAGGCGACCAAGCAGACACTGAGGCAGCCATGCTAAATTGGCAGCCCCGGCAGGATCCTATTCAGACAATAGTGTCGATTTAGTGGACTGTGAAATCCCTTGCCACAATGACTGAACATCAAAGGAAAGATACACCAGAAATATGAAAAATCAAGAAAGTACACCACCAAAAAATAAATAAATAAATACACAAACAACCTGGGGGCAGGGGAGGGAAGAAGACACAACAATTACAATTCCTTGAAGTTGATATGACAAGCAAACAGATATGAGGTTGTTGGAAGGGAGGGGGGATAGGGAAGAGGGAAGGAGGTTTCGGTAATGGGCCACAATAATCAACCACATTGTATATTGACAAAATAAAATAAAATTTAAAAAATAAATTTACTAAATAAATAAATAAAAAGGGAACATTATGATATCTGAAATACACAAGTAGTAAATGGGAGATTAAGTGGACCCTCAGAGTAAGAGTTAAAATCTACCCATTCAGTATTCCTACTCTCAAACTTCTTGCCACAAACATACAAGACTAAACCATGGCAAAGGGAGGCAAGGGGGTGGCAAACCATGAAACCTGGTTTAGACCAAGAGGCGGCCTGAGATCTTCGTGTCTCTGCCTCCAGATTTCCACATCCACCTTCTCATATAGAGTTATTTGTTTCTGCCTTGTTTTATGCCTCAGAAGACTTCATAGTTTTTCTTCTGAATTATAGCTCCATTTCTCACAGGTTTGAATGCCCCATAGCTCCCATTATGGTACTTTACTGAGATCCAATGTTTAAAGCAATCAGAGGAGAATCTACATTTCACAAGTTTTGATAATAGTTTACACTATATTCAACACAATACAATGACAATTATAAAAGCATTACTCAACAGAAAGCTTCAAAAGGCCTACTTTACTAATGGATAAGAATATACCAAGTGCTTTTAAAAAGATGGTTGTTTTTGAAGCACTGGAGTGTATTTTCAATAGTTGTAGTTTCGGCAGGAGGCTGGGGAGATCATCCTCAGGAGCTGCTCCTGGTGATGTGTCTTCATCTTGGAGGGGACTCCACTAGAGCCTGCCCTGGCTTCCCTCCAGCTCGTCACCCGCTCAGCCCTGGGAAGATGCAGTGCTCAGTGGCAAGTCTGCACAGGATAGGCGGTTTGGACAGCCAGCCTTTCCTCTCCTTCTTCCCCTAGGATGAAAGCTGCCCCCAGGGAACACGCCTGCTGCTCACTCTTCCCAGCACTGTGTGCTTGCAAAGGAAGTCTGCCCTGCTCCAGCGTTGATGGTGCCCGCCTGGATAAGTCTGACTCATTTGAGGGTTCAGTAGAAGGAAGCCCACCTCCCTGCAGATCTGCAGATACAAGCCCCATTGTCTCACATCGACTCTATGAGGAATAAAGGTGATGTTTGCTGACACTTTAGTCTTTTTCGTCAATTTGTTCAGAACTTGGGAGGGGAAGAATGGCATTATTTATTGGGCTCCCTCAAAAACCCTACCATATCCACCAGTACTCTGGCTGATCAAGAGGCCTACTATGGGGAAAAAAGGAAGATTCCAGGAAAAAGTTCTATGTGTCTCCATCACCATCACCTGGGCAGGCCTACTTCTGTATACTCTGCCCAAGAAACGGCTGGAAATCCAACCCTCATCCCTGGAGACACCCACTCTACAGGTGATGTCTAGACAGGTAAACAATACCCCATAGTCTACATTCCATTATCTGTGGGAATATCTAAGCTTTATCATGCTTCCCATATAGGCTAAATTAAGTGTTTACAACAGCTGCTACTTGAAATACTGGCAGCCATCCTCACGACAAGGGAAAAGTACAGATGTCTACAAGAGAAGACTGTACATTTCATTAGGAACAGCTATAAACAAGGCTAAGACAAAACACACAATCTTCTTATATAAACATTCTCCACAGAAAGCATCAGATTGCACCTATACTCGTACTACTCTGAAGATCAAGCCGTTGGTCTGCCTGCTTGACCAGAAAGCAATAAACAGACTATGGGGAGGTTCAAAGAGAGCGAGCCACATTGGGGTGGGGGGGCTCTGTCTTCTAAATCTCACACACCTCATCAAACTTCAGAAACAGGAAGAGCTGAAACAAAGCAAACTTACATGCTCCTTCATCTTGCTGGCCACCGTTTTTGACATCATGACGCAGCAGAGGACGGAGACCAGGATGAAGTAGAGTGCATACATGACACGGGTGCTCCGCGACTGTCGGATCTTGGGGCAGCAACCACAGCAGAGGGAGCAGCCTGCAGACCCACAGCAGCAGGCCAGCTAGAAAAAGAACAGAAAACTGCCTCTTAGAGTATGATAATGTGATATAAGAAATATGCATTTGGTCTTCATCTTAGGTTCCTGGCACAAGACAGCCTAAAACCTCTGGAATTTCCTAAGTGAGGAGGTGAGAGGAGAGTATTTTGGAATTCATAATAAGCCCCTTACAATATCTGAGTTTATGCTAATGAGGCAACTCTTGGTGTGCCCCTAGATAGCCTCAGGATGGGGGCTGGTTGCCAAAGGAACCAACCTTGTGATTCTGAGGGTGGGCACTTTCAGCCCCATCATCTCAAGAAGTTGGGGATGGGGGTGGGGTTTTGCTGGTGTTGCTAGAGATTGAGCTAATCACCAATGGCCAATGATTTAATCAATCATGCCTACATATTGGTGTATCCATAAAAGCCCCAATCAGGGGCCAGCTCCGTGGCTCACTCGGGAGAGTGTGGCGCTGGTAGCACTGAGGTCGCGGGTTCGGATCCTATATCGGGATGGCTAGTGTGCTCACTGGCTGAGTGTGGTGCGGATGACACTGTGCCGAGGGTTGCGATCCCCTTACCGGTCAAAAAAAAAAAAGCCTTAATCACTAGGATTCACAGCTACCAGGTTGATGAATGCATCCATGTGCCAGGACAGTGATGTACCCCAATGCCACGGGGATAAATACTCCTGTGCTTGGGGCCCTTCTGGGCCTCACCCTGTGTACCTCTTCATCTGGCTATTCATCTGTATCCTTTATAATAAACTGGTAATGGTAAGTAAAGGGCTTTCCCGAGTTCTGTAAGTCATTCTAGCAAATTATAAAAACTTAAGAAGGGGCTCGTGGGAACCCCTGATTTATTGTTGGTCAGTCAGAAGTATGGGAGGTCTGGACTTGCAAATGGCATCTGAACTGGGAGGAATCTTGTGGAACTGAGCCCTTAACCTGTGGGGTCTGTGCTAATTCAACATAGTTAGTATCAGAATTGAATTAAACGGTAGGACACTCAGTTGGTGTCATATACTGAGCCACCGCTTTACAGACATATTCACCCCAGCCTTCTGTAACATTCCAAGCTACAAGGTGACCATTTTCTCCAGGTATCCTGACCACAGGGTGTGCAGGAATAGGTTATTATGTGACCAAAGCTTTCACCAGAAGGTCTGATACTATCTTTAATGATAAGCATTAACAGCTTGGGAGATGCCCAATAATTAAACAGAAAAGGTATAGTTCATCTGAAGCAATATAATCATTACTCTTAGACAAAACAGACATTTCTGGGATCAGCGAAGAGCAAGAGAAAAAGCCAAGAACTAGCAAAAGGACAAAGTAGGGTGGGAAGAACATGAAAAACAGGAAGTTGGGCCCAAGCAAGGGACTTGTCAAAAATCCTTGAGGCTAAGAATCAACTGGATGAACACCTGGGGACATATCAGGATGGGAAAGGCTGTGTCTGCAGCCATCCACCTTTGCAGAAAATAATGAGAGTAATGTAACTGGAAGCTCAGAAGGAATAGGTGCCTCTTCCGCATGCACTGTTTACAGGGCTTCAAGCTCCTAAGGGTAAGCTTTTTGGGCTAATGAGTGGGGCATGGGCTCAGAGGAGCACAGAGCTCCTGCTGTACCACTAACATACACACCTTTTATTTGGGGGAATTTGATATTTGATAAAGCACAGGGCAATAGAGCAGTAGCTAAAAAATAAAAGCTCAGTCTCAAAATCAGCCTGCATGGGTTTATGACCTGGCTTTGCCACTACTAGCTGTGGACCATGAGCAAGTTATTTACTCTTTTAAGACCCAGTCTCCTCATTTATAAAGTGGGAGTGCATAGTTATGCTATGGTATCTTGGACGACCATCAGGAAGGGATCTCTATGAAGCAAATGGAATTATGCAAAAGAGATGATCATAATCTGCAAATTCCAACTAAATCCGTATGTATTAACACTAACAAATTCAATCTCTTGATAAGGATTTGGAAGGAAGTAAAGGACTTCACAAGGCTTCAAACAAGCATTAATTAGAATGCCACATTATAAACATTACTTACAATGACACAAGACAGGTAAGACAACAAATCATGAGGATCTTGGAAACAGAGTCATTTCAGGAGTTACCTCATCTACTTCATGGAACCACCAATGTTTGGCCCCTTGTCACTGTGCACTATTGCATTATAGTGGACCCCAAAAAGTAGATCTCTAAGCCCCTCTGTTTTAACTTTGCAGCTGGAATGTGCTTACTTGTAAGAGACACCTGAGAGCTGGTTTAGTGGTTAATGGTTGATTGCATCTCTGGCTTCTGTAACTCAGCCACTCGTTTGCTTTGAAGAAGCTACCCGCTGCTCGGTTTACAAAAAGCTCGTTAGCCACATTTCCTGCCTTTGTAACCCTGCTTGATGAAGTCCCTCACCTGTTTGATGAAGCCCCCCAGCTTGGTTGACTCTGCCTGGATACAAGCAGGGCCAATAAAGAAGCTTTCATGCTTGCTCAAAAGGTGTAAAACCCCAGTCTCCCTGCACTCAGGGCCCAGGAATTCAGAAAGAGTTCACCTGGGACTGCTAATGTAATAAATCTTTCTGAGTACTCCATCTCTCCGAGTGTTTGATGTTTCCTTGGCAACTTTTCCATAACAGCACCACTTCAAACATTGGCTCATGTGCTTTGTCCATCTTACATTCAATTTTCTGAGCCATCTTCCTCAAAAGCCTCTTCTTGACTCATAAGACTAGACCACAGCTTTGTAGAAGAAGTTATTCCACTCGGGCTGAGCTAACAGATCACACAAGTGGGATCCCAACACTACTGCATGTGTGGTGTTTTTTTGGGTTTTTTTTGTCTTTTTTCGTGTCCGGCAATGGATTGCAACCCTCGGTGTCGCACCCGTACCGGACCGGGACCGGCAACGGGATCGCAACCCTTTTTTTTTTTTTGTCTTTTTTCGTGTCCGGCAATGGATTCCAACCCTAGGTGTTGCACCCGTACCGGACCGGGACCGGCAACGGGATCGCAACCCTCGGTGCTGCGCCCGCACCTCGCTCAGCCAGTGAGCGGGAACCAGTCTGTATGTGGGATCCGAACCCTCGGCGGGAGCGCCGCCACACTCCCAAGCGGCGCACTGTAGCAGTGCGCCACCGGGCCGGCCCCAATGTGTGGTGTTTTTATGGGCTATCTTCCTTTACAATTCATTTGTCCATCTTATCCAGCTCTGATTTTACTGACCTCTTTCTACTCAAACACCCAAATTTTACACACACATACACACTCTACTCTCTCCCCTCCAACCTGTTTAGCTGGCTTTCCTCCAGGCCCTCACTCCCTCCTCCACTGCCTCCTGAATCCCTTCCCAACTGCTTCTGTCACTGGCTGCTAATTCTTTAAGCCATGTGGTCTTAGATAACCATGTGCTCTTAGAATGTGAATATTGTATTTCACATTCAAATGTGATAAACAAAAGACTGATCCTGTTTGGGAAAGAAATGTTTTAGAAGTAGTTAATGACTCTGATAATAGAACTTTCCCACAGCAGAATCAACATTTAACCTTACTATCTCCATGGAGGGGAAAATAAAAAGACACACATAATGTCATCCTAATTGGTCATTTAAAGGCAGACAAATAGTGACAGAAGGGATGTGATTGTGGAAAATGTGAAAAGAAAGACATACCAGTTTAATCCTATTTGATCATCATTATAAGTCATATAGCATTGCACAGATCTGATTTTTCTAACTTTCCTTACTTACCACTTTTACTCTATATTAAATATATGTATGTGCTATTAAAATAATATATGTATGCATGTGTTTATATGTGTGTCTATATACATGCATGTGTGTACATGTATACACACATTTCAAATATTAGAATGCAATAGCCTTTCTTTACTAGCCCAAAAGTTATTCTTCAAAGCAAACTATGCCGATAACCAATGGCACAAGCACATTATCTTAAGCTAAACACTGATACTGGGTGGAAAGTCAAAACAACACCCAGAAAAGAAATGTTTATGTTAGTATCTAGGAAAATCTCACAGCTCTGCTGAATGACTTGTTTCTGAAGAGTATAACTTAGAATTAAATAGGTTCACATCCAGCCCCTGACATTTACAGCCCCTGAGCATGTCACTCACCCCTGATCCTAACTTTCAAAACTGCAAAAATCAGTAACTGGCTGACCTAACTTCCAGGGCTGTCACAAGCTCAAAGGGAAGTGCCAGGGTCCCATTACCCCTGATCCAGAGAGCATAAACCTTTTACTGAACAAGCTAGGGTATAAAAAAACAAATAAATGTAGAATGTACACCAACAAGAGTGAACCCTAATGTAAATTACGGACTTTGGGTGGTTATGATGCATCAGTGTCCATTGTAACAGATGCACCACTCTGGTGGAGGATGCCAACAATGAAGGAAGCTATGCATGGGGAGGGGGGTGGTATATGGGAAGTCTCTGTACCTTCCTGGGGACTTAATCGAATAAATGAAGAAAAGTGTCTGCCCATCCATGGTTCAATAAATGCATGCTGAATGAATAATACAAGGGTACTTCAAAACATGCAAGGGTACTTCCTGGAAAAGTGGAATTAAAAGATTAAAACAAATCTTTCCACAAACTTTTTGAAGTACCCTCATACATGGTAAAGTCATAATGGCAACACTTCTCAAACAAAGCGGCTAGCATTCCTACTCCTTAGGGCCAAGTTCACAGGTTATGTACTGCCCTCTGAATTTTCCACACCAGTGCTACATCACAAAGAGTATTAAGGGCTTTAATTTGTAGATACTGCACACTCCCCTTTTCCACAAGAAATTACTATGCACTCAAAAGAGAGCCAGACAATCTATTTGGAGGACAATGCTTGCAGTTCTAGAACTTCATCCTGCAGATACACTTCTACAGGGGCACAGAGATATAGGTATGAGGTTGTTCATTACAAACACTGGAGACGACCCTATTCTCCTGCTAAATGGAAACTAGTTAAAGAAACTTTGGGCTATCTATACAATGAAATATTGTTAAAAAGAATAAGTTAGTGTTGTGGGCTGACTTGTGTTCCTCAAAGTTTGTATGTTGAAGTACTAACCCTCAGTACCTCAGAATATCACTATATTTGGAGATCAGGTCTTTATTAAAGAGGTAATTAAGGTTACATAAGGTCACTGGGGTGGTCCCCAATCCAATATGACTGGTATCCTAATAAGAAGAGAAGACGTGGACACAGACACACACAGAGGGACGACCATGTGAGGGAGAGCACAGCTAGAGGTGCCCATCTACAAGCCAAGAAGAGAGGCTCCAAGAGAAATCAACTCTACCATCACCTTGCTCTCAGGCCTCTAGTTTCCTGAAGCGAGAAATTAAATTCCTGTTGTTTAAGCCACCCGGTTAATGGTACTGTGTTATGGGAGTCCCAGGCAACTAATGCAATCAGTATGCCTTGATATTTTATACACATGCACATGTTTGTGCTGTTTGTGTAGATAGAGGACCGCTAGCCCTGATCACCTGTGGAACAAGCCTAGGTGTGGGGAGGAAAAGGACACATCTACTGTTAACTGTTCTGCTCTCCTGTTCTGATTTTTACCATGTGCATGTATCACTCTAATAATTTTTTTAAAAGAGAGAGAGAAGAAAACTGACAAAGCAACTAAATTTGAAGATATTGATATAAAAGAATTTGAAAATGTGAAATTGACTATGTGATATTTTTTCTTCCCCTCCCACAAATACACCGCAAAGAGGGCTGGCCAGTCAGCTCAGCTGGTTACAGCATGGTGTTTTAACACCAAGGTCAAGGGTTCAGATCCCCCTACCAGCCAGCTGCCAAAAAACCAAAACAAACAAAAAAACAACAAACATACTGCAAAGAAAAATCTTCCACTCAAAGAGCCCTTCACACCCTCCCTCTGTCTAACTTCTGCTCTTCCCTTGAAAAGCAACAGCATGAATAGCAAAGGCTTTTCTAAATAGAAGGTGCTTTGTCCTTGCCAGGGCAAAGGATCAAAATGAAAGGATAAGCCAGCTGCTTGCCACTACCTGAAGCTGGGCCTCCCCCTTAGTGTTATTTTTCTTCTCCTAACTAAGGACCAGCCCCCCACACATATACACATACCACAAAGAATAAATACATATTTGTCTCTCTCCCTGTACTCCCCACTGGCCTTGGGCACAGATGGTCCTTCCAAGGACTGATTTAGGCCTGCAAGGAAATGCTCACAGAAACATGAGCTAGGGCAATAGTAACTTCCAGGTACTTCTTCTGTTAAAAAGCTCAATACCTTCACTACCTAGAATTCCCAGTTGGCAACAACACCAATTAGAAAGAGCAAAGAATCAGGAAGAAAGCCAAATAGATGTCACAGAATCAACACACACACACACGCACACCCCTTGTACCCTACTCATAAAACAGTCCCTCTTTCCCTCCCCCAAATCTTATTTTCACAGTTCCAAAGGCTTAACTACAGCTCCTAAGCCCACAGCAACTAGGCGGGACAAGCTGGTGGGAAGAGCACAGGTCTGAGAACCAGAGGACCTGGACTCTAACTCTGTGCAGCTCTAGGTAACCTCCTCTTTCCCTCCCCCAAATCTTATTTTCACAGTTCCAAAGGCTTAACTACAGCTCCTAAGCCCACAGCAACTAGGCGGGACAAGCTGGTGGAAAGAGCACAGGTCTGAGAACCAGAGGACCTGGACTCTAACTCTGTGCAGCTCTAGGTAACCTTCCCTTCTGGGTCTTGGTTTTCCCCACATGTAAATTGAAGGAGCCTAGGTAGACAATGGATGTAGGTGAATAGTTTCATCCTACTGGCTGGCAGTGGCTGCCTGGAACTGTGTTGAGGAGGAGTCTAAGGCTGGATGTCTTGGCACCGAAAATGCAATGGCAATGAGCACCATCTGCCATAGGCATGGAAAGACAGTGTGGTGGCATCATACACATTCTTGTCAACTCTGCAAGAGGCATCGGACACCCTGACCACTGATAGATGCTTAGATGCTGAAAAACAAACTGCAATGGGCAAGCACACCAAGTTAACCCCAAAGCAAGAAAGAGAAAATCAATCAAAAAGAGAAGCAAGAACTAAAATGTGGAGCAGAGGAAAGCTCTTCAGGCACTCCACAGGTAGCATGAGCGTCCTTCACTGCTGCACAGGGGTGTGTTAATACATTCATGACCACGGCCCAGGCACCACGTCACACCATGTTCCCCTCATTCCACGTAAGAAGGCAAAGACCGGCATAGGACGCTTCTGTCACAAGAATGATCCCAAACATGGGCCATGCTCTTTAGTTTCAGTGCTTGAGTTTGGGGGAGTGTATACCTCTCAGCAATGTGAAAAACACCCATTCTGAATGACTTGCTCCTTGAGGGCTCTGGACAGTCCAGTTGGCTTTCATGTGTCTAAAAATCTTAAAAAGAAAGAAATCTTCAAATCTGACACCACCCTTCATTCACTTCCTTTTCCTGACTTCTGGAAATACAGGAGCCCTAGCAGAGCTAAGGAGCGACATAA